CGGAGGGGGATGAGGGCTCCTGTATCCCTGCTGGTGATGCCCCCCAGCCCCCTGCTCGCTCCTGTTGGGCTCGTTGGCCGCCAGGACCCCAGGTCCCTTCCCACAGAGCTGCTCCCCAGCCGGGGGGGACCCACCCCGTGCTGCGCTCCTGGATTGTGTTGTCCCAGCTGCAAGACCTCACGCTCGTCCCTGTTGAGCTTCTGAAGGTTCTCGTTAGCCTGCTCCTCCAGATCTCCCTGCGGGGGGGCTCTCCCTCCCGGAGCATCCACGTCCCCGCTCAGTTTGATGTCATCTGCAAACTCCATCAGGCTGCGCTTGATCCTGTTACCCAGATCACTGACGGAGACAGCGAATAACCTTGGGCCCGAGATCGATCCCAGGAGAAAACCCTCGGCTTTGGGAATTCTGCTCCCCACTTTGGGCGAGGGGCTGTGATTTTGCTTCAAGGCCACAGGGTGGGGGATGCTGGGCCCGTGCGGGACAACCCGGGTGCTTTTTGCTCCCTTCCCTGATGGAGAGGTTTAAGCTTGACCGAATTTAGGCTGAGTTTAGCTTCCCAGCCACGGAGGAAGGAGGTGAGCGCCGGGAAGCCCCTGGATGTGCGCTCAGAGCTCCGTTCCAGGCTGGGGAACGCTTTCCATCGCCTGGGGCGCAGCCAGGTGGGCCAGGGCGGGCGAGATCTGCTGGCCGGGGGCGGCAGGGCCTCTCACCTCGGGGTCGGGCTTGGGATTCAGTTTTGTCTCCCCGAACCTGATGCGGGGAGGGGTGGGAAACGCAGTGAGCGCCGTCGCTGCCGGGATGGGGCGCAGGACGCGAGGGAGGGCTCTTCCTGTGGGGCACGGCTGCGAAGGCAGAGCCCCAGGAGGCCGGCGGGCAGGGCGTCAGCGGGGGAGGTCGGTAGCTTCCGTGTCCCTTTGCCGAGTGTTTTTAATCCTCGTTTTCCTGCTCGCTTAGCCAGAAAGCGGGGCGGGGGGGTTATGGCCTGGTTTTCCAGATGCCAAGTCCGTTTTCTCCCCCGAGCGCTGGTTGTGGTCATCGGGTGTCGAAGACGGTAACGACACACATTTCTGTGAGCTGCGCCAGATTCCGAGCAGTCGCGTAACTGGATTACAGCGGGCAAAACCTGATAAATATTTAAAAGGCCAGCATCAGAAAAAGTCCCCCCCCCC